AAAAGGAAAACATTGTTATCATTATTGTGTTATTATCATTGGTTTACTTCATTTTACATGACCCGTCGTCACATCTACTGTGCGAATCCTAGCGCTTATTACGTTCGATTCGTTTTCATCATCCTAATTTTCCACAATGCTGTTCGAACACTTCGCATGTTGTTTCGGCTACTGCTTGAGGATTTCGCCTTCTTCATGAATGCTGTAGAATGCTGGTAGAGTCGATTCTGCTTTCAATATTGCAGATAACAGAGTTAAGCCGTTCCCATGTGGATTGGGGGAAAACGTTGAGGAAGAGGTCGAACAAGCGCCTTTTCTTCCTGATCGACGCCGTCACTAACCGTTCGGCTATTGTGTGAAAAGAGAAACATAACGGTCGAATTTCCTTGTAAAAATAAGGATATTTGAGACACGAAAGCTACTTCGGTCACTATTTAGAGTTGTAACAAAACGTCGCAATACAAGCGATAGATGCCGCAAAGTTTTTGCATAGTTTGAGAAGTGTTGTTTAAAATCGACTACTTCGATGTGGATCAAATAAACACAGGCAAATAACGGCTTAGCACTTCAACAGATTTGAGAAAAAAGGCTGAGATTTTAAAGGTGCTAGGAAATTCACCATAAATTACAGCGAAGATGCACTGCCCGTGGCACACCTTCTTGAAACTCGATGACCTTCGAACTAATGAACATCGATCTAACACTAATCACATTTAACACATTCGTGACAAAGCTGGTTTTTCGATAACTGAAGACAGTTTTAGACTACGGCCTCAGCTTAACTGGGTTCATTGCCGATTTGGGCTCCTCAGATCATCAGGCCCGGTGACGAATGATTACTGATGGCAAAAGATCGATGGAACTAACTGAGAGATGGGAGAAACGAAGCAGCCGTATGATGCGATGGTGAACGCGTTAGACCCCGGAAAGGATAATAGCGCGTTCGCTCCCCACCGCAGACACCTGCGGTCCGGAATTTAGCAAATATCTCAGCACCATTGAATAAAATTTCTCGATCACCGAACTATTTCAGGAGTTCAGAACTTTATAGATCTATAGAAGAGATTTCAGTCCACCGTTACTCACGTATATAATTTTCGTTCTTTTTTCAAATTTAAAAATATTTACAAATCCTAATTTCTGAAAAATTAGCGGCGAATTTCAAGTTTTTAAAATCCCTAATAGAAGAGCAGTAACTGCAATCATAAAGAATCCATTGGAGAACACCGTGCTGTTCTGCTGGACGAATTCTTGCTTGTTTCTTTGATGCTCGAAATATGAGCTCTGAAGCAATAAATTGGAAGAAATACATGATGTGCGCTTCAGAAAATCAAAATTTCATCGTGATAAGGAAATGAATCCTATCCCATAGGCGAAGCTTTCAGATTTCAAGGACCTTATTGCAATTAAGATGAATCACTGTGAGCTGGGATATGTCCACTCAAGTTACCAGCGGCCTCCACATTCGCATCACATGACTCCCATAGAGGTCACGTCGTCGCGACAGGTTTTTGCCCGCCGTTACGCAAAAAGATAAAGACTTTCTGAACAATCCAGTCCACCACTTAGTTTTTTATTGCCAAAATACCCCGTTGATTTACCACTTCATTGTGACTAAGGGTAACGACTCCTGGTTTTGAACTGTGATGCACTGCCGAGGTTCATTCCTCTAACACGTCCTCTTCAGGGAACAGTTCGAATTTTTTCCGTCCGAAAACAGGTAGAAGTAACCAGTACCAGTAATCACTGCTATGCCGACAATAACATAATGACCAGCTGGCAATTGCTAACGCTCTGGGAAAATCTTAACGTGGAATTCCGTAGTCCGAGAAAGTTGAAATCTACTTAAACGGGAATTTACCAGTCAAATAGAGAACGTTTTGGTGCTCATCCAGTTTTTCGTGAGTTGGATGGATGTGACGTTCAAGTATTCGAATAAACCATTTCTTAATGACCCCTCTTCCACATACAACATGGTGATCCTGCGCGTACTGTATTCGATAGGCTTCCTCGAATTCATCATTCACAAAGGCCTTACAACTTTCCGCTTGTGGACTCGGGTGCTGCTTGACGATTGTCTTCTCGCCATGGATGTTGCTGGATGTTGATCGAATAGGTTCACTCTGGACTCTTGAGATAGTCGAGTTAGAGCTTGCCCACTTGGATAGCAGAAAGTGGGACACTTTCCAGACAAGAATGGTACGAATTTCCCGACATCATAGGAATGAGAGGCTTAGTGAGCTCGGGACAGGGCCGAGCCAGCACCGCTCTCGTGATGGTCGGCATTATTATTACTGCGTTACCGGCAAACACACATAGTGATTCACAATGTTTAACGTTTTTGTTTTCTGCCTTCTATAATTTTCATGGCAGGTTACACATAGTGATTGTTTCTTAACAAAACGGCTAACCAATCGATGCACGACATCGATTATTCATAGCTGAACTAAAACATACACAAGACATTACTAGCGGAAACAAACATGAAGCGTTAAAAGCACGAAATATGATGACGATCGATGCGGGTTCCGTCCCCAGGGACGATAATGACGCCGTTTCAAAGCGAACACGCATCATTGCATGAGAAGCATTTAAACTTAGTATCTTTATCTTGAACTGTTCAGCTTACACGAGGTTGTTATACAAAGTTTTATTGTGGCTAACGCTGCGTTTGAGCCAGCATCCCACACTCACCAAGCCATCCATTTCAACGGGGTTGGCAAGATGGTATCAAACTTTTCTGAGAGGTTAGCAACATTAACTTGATAAACGAGATACATCGGCATGTACCCGCATAGGGGCTTTAGTGGCTACGCTTTAGGCAATCCTTGTGATAACTGATAGCGTTGAATCAAAAACGCATCCTTGTGGGACTTATCAACGTCGAACGTTTTGCCATTTTATTCTTTACATTCTTCAACGTTTCGACACCTTCATCTTCCTCAGAACCAAGAGGCCACAACGTTTTTAAAAATTTCGTTAAAATCGTCTCAATCATACTCACTTTCTAAATTGAGTTTTTACTTCACTAGTCGTGTTTCGGATCGCTGAAGGCAATGCCCGACATCGCTTCCTTCTTTACTCTATACTTCCTCTTCGTCTTTATGTGCCAGTAGGAGTAATAATCGTAGGAGAGAACGACTCTTGGGAAAGTGAAGTACATTACCGGTTTGTTTCCATTTCGAAAATCTTCTTAAGCCAATGAATCGCATCTTCTGACCCAATGTAAAATATTCTGAGTGCTGTTTGGCACGAAATCCACTAGCAAGATGTATTCATTTGTTGCTTTACTATTCATTTCAGTTTTTACCTATCGCAACAAGAAGTACGTTAGGACAGAACACCTCATCTGCATGTCGCTGTTTCGTGACATGCATGAGCCGTAGGTGTTCTATCCTCGGCAAAAAAGTCAGGCTGCGACATAAACGCGAGCCTGTCTATCAATCCCGCGCCGGCTTCATGACTCAGCTGCATGGACCGAATGGACCCCTTAGTCAGCTCCTGCCACTTTTTCAAGTCATCAATAGGCGCATGCCGGTGAGCAGCCACGTCTCCACTTCACATATATACGTTGGTCAACAACTTGTATTCCTTAAATCGACTGTAGTCTGAGGCCTAGCGTTGAAAATAATTTCAGATAGTTCGCGGTTATAACCGAAAACCATTCCACGATGATAAAATCCACAACAGTACTTCTAAACATGCCATCGATTTGAACAATAAAACCCAGAAATCCAGAGGCACTCTTTGCTACAACAGTTATTGACAGGAAATCGTCCTTTCTCATTCCAGTTGAAAACAACCTGCACAGCCATGCTGTGAATAGTCGGCAAAGACGAAGCTAGAAAGATTTCAGAAATGAAATGGAGAAAAGTCAGGGAAAGAAAAAAGAATATCTTCGTATGTGATATTGACATGGGCGCGTGTGGCGCAGTAGTCGGAAGCGCCCTGCAGCACATACATGGGACCGGTCCCGTCCCTGCACCCCTGAGCCACCAAGCCTTCCATCACTCCGGGGTCGGTAAATTGGTGCCAGAGGTGTCTAGGAGGATAGCAGCACTGGTTCGATAGATCGCTACGATACCGCGAGTTATTGTAAAGGCCACATATGCATTCAATCACCTCCAAACGATGCTTAATGAAGTCGAAAACATGGCGCATCACTGAGGAGTTGATCAACGGCGAGGGCTTTTATCCTTCATATAATACTGACGTACTCACATTGTACTCATTCGTAATGGAAAGAACCTAATGAAACCTTTCTTTCAAGGGATAGTTCTTGCAACGAATGCGACGAGCGAACGAATCAACTGTAATTTATTGGTTCGAGTTCTTCACATCCCGAAAGCAAAGTGGAGGAAATACACTATCACCTCAAGACATTTTATTAGCCCGCACTCTTTCCTCTGAATGTTAAATCTCAAATCGAAGCCAGGGCGCATACTTTGCCGCAAAGTCAGTATCAGAAACCGTTTATATTCGTACTGTGGCTTGTGATCGAGAAACCAACTAGCGCTATCCCTTACCCGTAGTAGTTCTAGAAGAATTACGACCATAGTACAATTACTCGACGTTATTCCAATGCTTTAAACGATGTCACATCGTTGCCCTCATCAGGCCAATATGAGCATGTGCTAGACCTGTTTCGACCAGGTGGTAAGATAATCTCACAGAATCGCTAAGAAAACCAACAGCAGAAGAAACGCAGAAGAAGAGAACAACAGCAACGAATGAGAAAAGCAAAGGATCCTAAAATCCTCGGTACAGTGCGTGTTTATTTATACAGGCTATCATCTAAAAAGTAGAGAAGAAAAAAAACTGGATGAACAAATATAAATAATTTCCAAAGCTCCTTAGCACTATTTCCGAAAAAATCACAGATACGTCGCGTCGCGCATCTTGAGGAAATAAGCATAGTTAAAAACTTGGAACCAAACCGAGCAACTGGATTAGTGCAGCATGGAGAACACATAAGACTTATTGGATATCGGGTGAAGAGACTAAAATAGTGCTAATGCCTTGACTTCAGCGCCCTTTGTGTAATGATTTAGTGAACAGATCAATCCAGGGTTACCATTAATTCTCGAAAGACAAATCGCTGAATATGTTACACGTGAGTCGGATGCGTCAAAGAATAACAGCAGAACGGCATTCCGCAGGACACCAAAGGCAGCAACAGGATGTTCCACGACATGATGGTCAGACTGCTCAGCTGGACAATGGATGGAAACCATGACGACCTACATGTTTTTTCTTTCATAGGTCACTGACGGAGAATGTTCATTGGCTAATATCCAGTGCACACCACTGGAAGCGTCACTGAAATCTGCCCAATAATAAGTCGCTGATACGACACATAACTTTGAGTGGAGATAACGCTGACAGAATTCTATCCACATTCTCATTTCTTCCTTCATTTCACACTCCTCCTCATAAGCCTCAGAAAATAAACAAGCTGTTTTCATATGGTTTATATTTCGGTTTCATCGTAATGCTAATATGTGACTAACATCAGAGACTTCGCCCACCCCAGTCAGACACGACTCATCTGCTTTTTTTTCTCGGAGCCAATTTTGTGGTTCCAGTTTCACCAACGTTACGATTGCTTATTATTTTCAGAAAAAAACGGATTGTTCACTTTTTATTTACCACCTTTTATAAGTTTTCACGGCAGGGTATTATTCGTGAAACAACTACAACTATGCTGAGATATTTGCAAAACTCCAGACTACAGGTGTCTGCGGTGAGGGACGAATGCGCTATTGTCCTTTCCGCGGAATAACGCGTTCACCACCACACCATGCTGGTCATTCGCTTTACCTGTCTCTCAACTAGTTCTATCGATCTCTGCCATCAGCGATCACCCATAGGCAGGGTTGATCTAGGGAGCCCAAATCGGCAACGAACCCAGTTAAGCTGGGGCTATAGCTGAAATTCACAATGGTCACTTTTTATTTACTGCCTTTTATAAGTTTTCACGGCAGAGTATTATTTGTGAAGCAACTACAGCGATGCTGAGATATTTGCAAAACTCCGGACGGTGATGAACGAACACGCTGTTGTGTCTGCGGTGGTGAACGAACGCGCTACTGTCCTTTCCAGGGAGTAACGCGTTCACCACCACACCATGCGGGCCCTTCGTTTCGCCTGTCTCTCAGAAAAAAGGCAGAATGTTTATTTTTCAAACGAAAAGAGTCTTATCACATATAAAATTCTATCCGTATATTTTTGCAGCAAATGAAGTAAACATGAAATATAAAAAATAAATACAAAGTTACTGTTTACTAGTTAATACCAGTCAGGAGAAAAGCTCATCAAATTAGACCAATGCAGTCCGTGTAGTCATACTCTTATTGAGGTGGTCAGCACCAGTAACAGCACCAGTACGAGAACAACGACAAGCAAGAGCAGAAGAGCTGACTTCTAAAAACGGAAAGTCATTGCAAAGTGCGGGAAAGGAATCTGGGGCGTTGCTGATATTGCCTATTTCACTACGAGCCCTAACCGTCCCAAAAAAGCCTAAGCTTCCAAATAAATTCAAAACAACGATGAGGAATATAACCTACTCCTTTAAAGTGGACTATCATTAATGAAGTAATAAACGTCAGTAACCTACGCCTAGATTTTCACGTACAAAGTTTCTGCGCGCATTTTCAATGTGTTGGCGAGATTAACAAGCTGATTGCCTACGTAAGCTACTCATTTGTTACCCTGGATCAAATCCCTTCCTGCACCACCTTAGAATGAAGACACACCGCTTGGAATATTGTAAAAAAGATAAAAGCATAAAGTTTAAGGCATTGATCAATCCCTGAGCGATGCTCCATGTGTACGATTTCATCAGTCGTTTAAGGTGACTGGATGCATATCTGACGTATGCATTCATTCGCGGTTGCCCATCGATAAGTCAAGTTAGTGCTGCTATTCTCCCATGCAAATCTGGTGCCATTTTGTTCACCTCGGAAGAATGGAACGCTTCGTGAGCTCGAGCGTAGGATCGAACCAACGACAAAGGGTAAATAGCAGGACATTTCTTGGCATTGCGTTATACACACCCATGATGTTGAATAACGATGAACAACTGGAATTCATCTCACGGAACGTTAAAACAATCGGTTTTTACAGATAGAATGTTCTACTAGGAAACTCTTTCTGAGAATCACTCACGTACAAAGATTTTAAGCCATAAACAGCAGGCAGACTATGCAGATGCCGATTTCGTGTAGGATTTTCCCTTACATGGCAAAATAGTGTGGTTTCTCAGTGACCTCGCATTCTAAAAGTTAGCACGTGACGATCCAATCAGTATACTGATGATATTAAAATTGGTCGCAGCTGCTTCTGATAGAAGGTTTGGTCTTATCACCACCAAGATCTATATAACTCATCATCGAGGAGATAACAAATCGGATTTCAGAACGAGGAACGCCAGAACGACATGTTCAAGCTCCTACAGTACGACGTGCCTGCCAAAGAGATTTGAGTAGGAGTCATCGATGATTTTTCATAACGCCATTTTGGAATTTATGAGTGTTCTATCTGGGCGTCGTATGGCGACGATATCGATTTTGTAATCGGTGAAACGATTCCACGTCTTGCGATGTACCTACTATCTTAGCAAATCCCAGGACCGATTTTCTTTTATCCTCGGCAGTAATCAATAATTCATTGTCTGCCTGATGAGCTAACACGACATCGTTCTTATAGGATTTATCCATTCATAATACTGACGATTTTCCGGTTTCGTCTCTTTCGCAGCGTGGAAAATTCGGAGTCAAATTGACACGCAATCTAGTCAGCCAAAAGCAACGTTCTGTGGCTGTGCTTACTTCGTGCGAAATGAAAGGCCAGATAAAGATCGTATTTTTTAAAGGGTAAATAGTCGAGATAGGTCTAGTGGAAAACTACGTTGGCAAAAGAGGTAGACCACTACACTCTAGGTCCACCTAGAAGAGCACATAGTTCGAAAACTTCAAGTCAAGTCGAGTCAAACAGATCATTCTGTTGGGAATGCAAATGGCACGAAGGAAAAACGGAGAAAATTTTGAAGTAGAAGTTACCTTCGCATTTCTATCAACGGTGTGTTGGTCAATGCGATAAATTCAAACAGCTGCTCACATATTCGCTCCAATTCCAATACGTGAATTTCCATGTGCTTAACGTACCCTGGATGGTACTCAAGGTGCTCTGGGACGAGTCTTTGATTTCACATTGTCAGTGATAACTTCGTTGCAAGCATTAATTGCACGAATTGTGGAAGTCTATGCAGAGTGCCTTGATTCCGTTGATATTGGCACGCATGCAATGAAGACTGTCAACGTGAACATTTTTCCCGTCTTTTCCACTGTGAAACCCATTGCTCATCATGACGTGGCAAGGCAAACAGAGATGACAACAGGCATCAAACAGCAACAAGGCGTCGTGAAGGCGACTTTTCAGAGCAACATAGAGGATTTATTCAGAAAGGATACGATGATGTACCTGGTTGACTTGTTGGTAGAGCTGAACCGCTTCATCAGTCTCTTTCTTAACCTTCTCAGTGTACTCTACAGCCTGGCTAATATTAGTGTCGATGCGATCTACCTTGAGGTCCTGAAACAATTCATTTGTTAGTGCACGAATAAATGTAGTAGCAGTGGTTTGTTACACGCTTGGACTTTTCAGTGAACTTGAGAGTGACCGAAAAAGGAAATGGAGGAAATTTCGTAGAAGGGTGGGAAAAGAAAGAGTAATCAGAAGAAATTTCTACATTTTATCGAGCTTTTAACAACTTTTGTCGTCAGATTTTACTAGATTTTACTGGATGGGTTATATCAATGTATTAACAACCAACGGCTTATAAGTTTTCATTTAAGAGAATTTAGCACTCGAATCACGTCGACTTCAGCACCTGATCGTTGTATTTTCAATTTAATTTTTGTTTTGTTTTTATGCTACGAAGCTACTTAAAAGAAGTGGACATTTTTAATCCAAGACTTTTACTCAACATAATGAATCCATTGTATTAGCGTAGCTTTTAAAAAGTGGTTCGGCCTGTTACGTTGGAAAATCCCTAGTCATTAGCTCACAGATCTAGCGTCGATCAACAGGTAACCGTAACTACCAATGCAAACTAGTGGGAGCGCCTTAGCATGGCTATCTCGGGATTCCACGAAAAACATCACAACAAGCATTCATCAATCAGCGAGGCGAAAAAAGAACCCAAATCCATAAATTAACTCGCAGAAAAACTCGAATATTTTAGTAGAGGGCCATAAGGCTTGGCCAGTGAGAACAATGGTGGATGTGCGAAATTTGTGGCAATCGAACAATCGCACTTAACATGGGAAAGTAGTGGAAAAATGAGGAACTCTACAGAGATCACAGATGCTTAGTAGATTAGCTGATGACTACAGCCCTTTTGAGTGCAAACGTAGACAATCATACCATTACGTTTACCACAGTTAGAAGTTCTTAATCACCTGAGGTATCTCAAGGGTAAAGTTAAACGTAGTTTTCAAAGGAATAGAACCATGATCAAAGAACCACAAGGGATGCGACTGCATGTGGTGGTGAAGGGACAGACTTTGGCCAGACTGACCTCGAAATTCCAGGGAAGCACAATGGATTAACCAGCAAATCTCCGAAAAATGAAGCTTATGCTGAGGCCCGCACAACCAGTGAGGACGGGCTATTCAGGTATCAAGTATCAAGTAAGTATAAAACCATGAGCACTGCTGTTACTCGACGGCTCATTCAGAACCCTAAGCACGCCGATGAAAGCCTCAATGTGGTACATCTGCGAGTCATAAGAAATATTGTGAATAATAACACTTTTTTGTTTCCAAACACAGTTTTCGATGAATCGGTATACACCTTTACCCTAATCACACGAATCGTGAGGAATTTGGTGAATGATCGAGAGGATATCGTACTGCTTCTTTTGAAATTTCGTACTACTGCGTTCCAACAAACAGGTGGAAACTCAGTGATGTTCCTACTCCAAAACATCTTTTGCATTATAGGAAGGTTGTAACTGCACTTTACGACATACAATGTTAAGTACGCAGGGGAATTCGGGACGAACCTGAGTGTGCACTAAGAAATTGAGATGCTCATGCAGGGAATTCAACGACGACACGGCTTCCTCAAGAAGAAGCAGTTCGTCTGTTCTCTGCTTGACCTCGAGCAATACATCCTTCTCACCACACTCATCGTTCTGAATGCCAAATCTAAAGAGTGGCTTCAATTCCAAAAAGTGATATCTCAGCAGTGCTAGTTTGGAGATTTTTTCAAAAAAAAAAAATGCAGGGCAGTTCGTTTACTACAAATTAAGATCGGTTATACCAAAGATATCTGAAATAACTGAAGGTTTAAACAGAAGTGGAATTTTCGATAGTTTCACTTTGTTTACCTCCTCGTTGATCTCAGTAGTTTTCAGAGAAAGCGGTTCCAGCACGTCTTCCTAAAATACCCCAAATGCGCTAACGTTTTTCGAGTCAGAATGCAATAACTTCATTCGGAAATACAAGCCGAACGGGGACAAAAGCGAGTTGCAACCGTGATAGATCCTGCTTGAAGAGCCTTCTCGACATCGCCGACCTCTGTTCCTCTATTCAACGATCGCTCAGAGGCATCGCCATCACTCCTCTGTAATGTTATTTTACGATTATCAAAACAGAGCAGAATGAATTTCATGGATAAGTAAACCGATTTTAACAGCAGTAACAACTACTGAAAGAGTCGATACCCCATATGGACCGAAGCTTCTAAAAGATGTAAGCTTAGCATACTTCAGCCCTTGGAAGTGCATTTGAACAGCCCCAGCTCTACTCTCATATGATCTATAAAATTCCATAAGATGTGGGATTCAGATATGTTTATTTGGAGATAGTTCATCGTAGACATGAAGACCATATTCCAACGAATTGCTCACTTAATACCTCGTTGAACGACTTCACACTGTATTCAACGTCTTAAAATCGTAACTCATGCCCTGTTTCGCACTAGTCGACCCCAACCATGGTCACTACCAAACCAACTCTACGGGAAGTAACTGCTGCGTAAATCGGATTTGAATCACTGCGGTTCTGAAGAAGACAACTGCGCCGAAACGTCACAAAGAGTTCCCCGTAATAACATTGTTTAAGCCCATTAATGCAACAATGTATTGATTATTTATGCCGAGGTTAAATGAAAGTCACTTTTCAAAACTGTAGACAACCAAAGCTTAGGTGTGACGCCAAAGTTTGAGGTATTTGCGTGTGTCAGAATAAAGTCGAAGAGTACCACAAACAGAAAAAACTCTCTTTCGTTGAAAACACTCCTTCTCTCTAGGGGATAGACATAGTACAACCCAATTTCAGGAAGGTTTTCTTTTCCTATCGAAGATAAAGAAATAAACTTACCGCGACGGAAAGATTAACACCCGTAATTTCGACACCAGGTGCCATCTGAAACTCTCCTGGAAAATGAAATGATCTCCAGTCATAAATTCTGCAGCCATAGTATAACGGTAGTGCCCATAAACTTCTAATCGACGTTAAAAGTAGCACTCATTTAACGAAATGAGTGAAAAAAATGTGCACTCACTGAGGTGTTTTTCAGTAACTGGTCGAGTCAGTTCTTCAAACGGAACTTCCTGCTCTCTGAATCGAAGGATCACTGAGTGAAGAGCTTGCATAACGCTTTCTGTCTAGAAATTTTTAACACTAGTTTCTTTGTATAACAAGAAATACTCCGAAGTCATGAACATTATAATGCTGATGGAAATAATGCGGAAAAATAGATAGCCGAAATAATGATTTACAAGTGATACCTGGTCCTTCTTCATTCGAAAAAACGCAGAGATTCGATCCGGAGTCTCGCGGACTTCATTATCGAGGTCTGAATTACATTTCTGCCTACTATGATTTTTCACGGTAGGGTATGACGTGAAATACAACCACAATGATGTTGAGATATTTGCAAAACTCGGACACGCAGCCAGATCGAACCACGACTGCCCTTTCCAGGTGCTCACGAAATGCACACTGCACCATGGTAGTCCTTGCTTTCATGTCTCCGAGATAGTTTTCTCCCTAAAGCTGCCATCATCAGTTACCCGTCAGCGGGATTGATCTCAGAACCACAAATCGGCATTGAATCTGGTTAAGCGGCGGCTGTAATCGAAATCACAATGTTAACTATTTATTTTCTGCCTACTATAATTTCTAACAGGAGAGTATGATGTGAAATACAACCACAACAATGCTGAGATTTGTGCTCCCCAGACCGATCCCGCTGATGGGTGATTGCTGATGACAGCTTAAGGTAGAAAAATAGCTGAAAAATACGCAGAGCAAAGGTCTCCGTGGTGTAGTGTGTAATGGGCGAGTCCCCAGAAAAAGTAATCGTGGTTCGATCTGGCCCGGAGTCCAAGTTCTGCCAATATCGTGTAAAAGTAGCAGAAATTAGATAGATTTTCAATGTATCTGTCACAAATCCGTAGAATGATGGCCAACTGACGTACCATTTCTCGACCTTGATAACTCATCTGAGTGAAAGATTGTGTGATGGTTAGTAAGACGGAGATCCAATTGGTAGATGAGCCACCAGTTGCCCACCAATCTCTAACGGACTTTGTTTTGCAAAATTAACCGTAAAATAAGTAGATCGGAACCAACCGTTGACAGCCGCTACCACCTTATCCAGCTCTTTAGCAAATCCTTTAAACATCTGTGACAATTTCTCAAACAATGTTTGTAGCCGCGCTGAAATTAGCAATCAGTCCCAATAAACGTAGGCACTTCACGTTGTTTGGTTCTGCATATTTGCATGTTTGTATCCATGCACGTAACCATATACAGCACGTATGTAATGTATGTATGTGACGTATGTATGCAACACATGAATGCGTGTATATACATATATATATGTATATATGGCTATATATATATATATATATATATAACCCAGATAAGAGTAAATCAATACCAGGATCCACCACCGTCCTGGAACCGAACTAGTCGCATAGTGGCAAATTTCCCTCTGATCCACAACGGCGGCGACTGCTTGTGGTGGAGACGACCTGGGGCAGACTTCGACCAAGCTGATATTGGGACTCCACGGGAACGCAATGCTCAAACCAGCAAAACTCTGAAGAATAGAGATTATGCTGGGGTTCGCACAACTAGTGAGAACGGGACGACCAAGTATCCAAGCAAGATAAGGCTTTTTAGATGATGTGCGGGTAGCAACACTTCTCCGCACTCATTTCGGTGTCTCTCAACCGTTACCCCTAGAAGTGATCGAGTTCATGTGTAAATTCCATTGCAGCTTCATGAAGTACAATGTTTTCTCCTCCCTGACGCAACAGGCAATTTTCTGCGTTGCGACTAGGATTCTTCTCGGACGGCAGCGATTCCTCTGACGACGACGAGTCTTACCATCACTCAAACGACCACTCAAAGACGATGTAACAACACGAATCTATCCGCGTTTTAAAGTCCTAGAGCTGCTTGCAATGTATATGCTCCTTGAATGGATCTCCTTGTTCTCTTCCTCAGAGAACTCTTGCAAAATAGCATAATATGATCTTCTCGCCTTTCTCCTGCAAACTTTTTACACACAGAAAAAATCAAATGAAGCTCATAAGATTAAAAAAAAACAGCATGTGTTTAAATTAATGAACTTACACGATGTTGACAAAGTAGTTTTATTCGGCTAACGTTTCGAAGTCTTCGACTTTATCAGTGCCGATGATGTAAGTCGATGGTCCGAAGTTGTTCACCTTCTCGAAGCAGCGTTATCGTCTTCATATTGAGTCGGATCATCCTCAGAGGAGCATCTCTCGAATGAGACACACTCATACACCGATGCTCTTTTATACAGGGCTGTTGCTGATGATATGTCTATCTACTTATAATAATTTCTTTTTCAACGGATATCCGTCTCGATACGAAGATAAAGACACCACATCGAGGAAACCAACAGCTATGGACCCTCGACTTGGATCATCGCCTCTGGTGAAGACGAAGACGTCGAAACGTCAACCGAATAAATCTACTTTGTCAAACTTGTGTAAGGTCAACATTCCAACCACACCTTGATTATTCTGGTGTCGAGGTTAAATCACTGCCGGTTTCAAAGTTAGAAAAACGACTTTTATTATTAGAGCTTCAAGCGTGAAAGCAAAATGAGGAACGATTTTCAAACGCATATACCCTGTCATTCATAGAAAGTTTCAAACTTCATTACGCTTTTAATATCCGCGCAAAAAAATTCGTATTCTTGGATGGCTTGGTTAAAAGTGCTCCTGTCGAACTGTTGAGTTTGCACTCAATGCCGATAAGTTCAGTAAGAATTCACACTCCTACCGCGCAAAGCAAACAAATTGGAAAGTAAACAACGACACTACCTCGATCGACATCGCGAGTGTCGTTGGAGACTTTGAGCAGGTTGTGCAGTTGTCTGATCAACTCCACGACGTCGTTCATCTTAGCGATCGCCTCCCGTAGTGCCGTGGCACGTCGAAGAAACTGAATTCAAGATCACATCTGTCTCCAACGATTCACATTCAAACCACATTCTATCATCTCATTTGTCTTCACTGTAGCATTTAAATCATTGCTATCGGTAGTATAAAGGGGGGCGTGTGACGCAGTGGTCGGAGGCGCCCTACAACACACACGTGGAATCGATCCCGCACCAATGGCCCACCAAGCCCTTCATTCCGTCGGGGTCCGCAAATTGGTACTAGATTTGTCTGGGAGGACAGCAGCACTGGCTCGATACATCGGTAGGCCACCGCTAGTCATTGTAAGGGCCAGATATGCATTCAATCACCTCCAAACGATGTTTAATGAAGTCGAATGCATGGCGCGCCCTCAAGGATTGATCAACGCCGAGAGCTTTATGCTATGCCCTTTTATCCCAAACTAACAAATCACAACCACAAATGTACCGCATGTGTTACTGTTGTGCTTAATGCATACTGATTCGCTTATTTATATAGTTTTTCACGCTATTACCAGTGAACTTCCAATGATTTGTTGCAGGTGTCGAACTGCGATCTATAGCCGAGTAATCTCTGGCAAATAGCTCGTTCACCAGAGATTGTAGATTATTAACGACATAGATGTACCATGCTGTTTTCCTTTACGAGAGATCTCATAGCATGGCTTTCTGAGTAGAAACAGAAGACATTTTCTTCTGGAAAATCAGTTAAGAATAAACAAAAAAGCCAGGAATCGATACCATAATGGGCATCAACACAATGACTAGAGATGCGAAAGTCGCAATAAAAAAGGTTTTGAGACTCCAGAGAAACGAAACCTGCCCAGTTAACATACTAACAGTGATATCGGAATTGTACTGGTGACCGCGAGAGGCAAATGCGCTAGGCGTAATAAAGATTTATAGCAATCTTTCGTCAAATACAACTACAATGTGAGCAAAACCCGGAACCCCAGGTTACACTGGAAGCCGTGGTTATCGTTCTCGAGGGTTGTTTTTCATCATACCACTGACGGGCCCTTACTTCACCTTTAACTCAGCCAGTTTTTTATTCTAACGGTGTTATCAACAATCATTCGTCAAGGAAGTTTAAATCTAGGAAATGATCTAGGAGGCATGAATCGGGAGCATATATATAGATGTATATATGTAATATATTTTTTCACCTTATCTTTGTAAAAATAGAAAAAATTATTTTTTATACGACCCGTCCTCACGTTTGCTGTGCGGATCCCAGCACTTCTCACATTCGATTCGTTTCTTCACATTAGTTATCCACGAAGATCTTCCAACTTTTACATGTGGCTTCGGCTGCCGTTTAAGGATTTTAATTCCATCTTCAATTTCGTAGAACGCTGGTCGAGTCGATTCCCCCTGGAGTATTGAGATAGTTGGGCTGGAGGGTTCCCAATTGGATTGCTGAGAGCGCTTTTTTCCAAAACAGGTCCGGTACAAATTCTTCGACCCCGGAGAGATGAAAGGCTTGGTTGGCCTGGAGCGGAGTCGAATTAGCACCATGCCCACGATGATCGACATCAGTACCACTGTGCTATCCGCTCCTAATATACAAATATACGTGCATATATATATACATATAAATATATATATATATATATATCCTCTCAACGGTTTACCGCCTCATCGTGGCTGGGAGGTGTTCCTGGGTGTCGGACTACGAGTATATATAGCTTTTGTGTATCAGAGACAGACCACTTATCAAACAAATCTGGAACCAACTTCATGACTTCGAAGAGATTATCAACATTAGTACCAGGAATACTACGCACACCCTTTTAAAATTATCTTCACCATTGCCGTTGTTATTATTACTGTCGTCATTATTACTAATGTTCCAATAGGAGGAATCATACATTTGACTTCATTGAATATCGTTAGAGGTAGAGACTGAATTCACATCTGGCTTATACTATGACATAAGGTGGCCTATCGATGTATCAGGTCAGTGCTTCTATCATGCCAGAGAAACCTGGTGCCAATTTGCCCTCCGGAGGGATAATGGGCTCGGTGAGCTGGGACGCTTATTCGAACCAACGACCGGGGCTCTCTTTCAGTGCAATTTTAACCACTATGCTATAATCACCCTTTCAAAAGTTTCCACATATATGTCTATCTGCACAATATAGTACCAACTTGAATAACAGAAATCCTTCAACTCCACACTGTATGAGTGCGACTAGAAGAACTTCAAGTAGTGGAATAATACTTGCCTAGAAATTCGACTGTTTAAGTCCTTTGACTTTTCTTTCAAATGAAGTGCCAGACGATAAATCGTAATAATGTAAAAATTTTAGGACTTCGCAACACCATGACAATTCTATCCAAATGTTTGAAATCTGTGGTATTCGAGTAGTTACGATTCCTGGATTCTAGTGATCAGGAAACGATGTGTTTGAGCTGGCTGGTGAGATTTTGAGACAACACGCCCACAACTAATGCGGAAAATTTTGCAAAACATCTGTAATCACCGACGAACCTCTTCCGTAGCTTCCCCTTCTCCAGTAGTTGCAGTCAGGGAGTTCATTACATGCACATCTTCTTCAGCAGCGATTGTCTTCCGCAGGAACTGAACGCAAAAAAAATCAATACTACTGCTACTGCTAAAATAATCTCTGTAGTCAGACTTCAGCTAACTGCGGTACGATTGAAGACGTGTCAATCAGTTTCCGACTGTTCGACTGAACGATACGGATAAAAACCGTCAGTACGGTGCTATTCCAAAAAACCGCACCAGCCGAGGTAAGAACGAACTTTACCTTTAAACTAGCCATTCGATCCTTAATGGGCATCCTTGTAATCCGAGGGTGACGCTGAAAAGTCAGCGTCGATGAAAGTAATCACAGATAGTATTAAATGAATGAGTAACAAGCACAACGCACGCAGATTATAGAATCGGACATTCGCGAATAATCGAACTGCGATGAATCAGCTCGATAGAATTGCTGAGTGCACGGAAGATAGAATGCAATCAAAAGGCAAAATCATAACCCAGAACTTCAAACTCATAAGAATTGCGATCTCATTCACGAAACCACCAGCAACTATCATAGTAGTAGGAGTGGACGTTCAAATGACGCTCACACTACAGTGAACACAAAGAACACCATGACAACGAACTGGCCGACAACTAGATACCAGCAGCGGAGAACTCTCAACAACAGTTTGAGCAACATTGTACACGATGATTCGTTCTCAATGAAAACTGTTAAAGTTCAAACGGATAACCACTGCAGGATTATGCCCAAAACACTGGTTAGTAATCGCTCCCAATATACCCGACTGAAGCACTGAAATGCCGGTCACACGTGACAAAACCGAACGTCTCTGAGTGGCATGACGTCCAGAAGAACCTTTCAACGCGTGATTCACTCCTTCAAGTCTCTCCTTGTTCCGTCATTCTGCTGTCGAACGATGCACAAATCAATATACAGCAACTGAGTCACAAGGATATAACAAGCTACGTTCAGCTCGTAGAATGTGAAGAGAACGGCTATGAGGTCAATTCAATTTATCATATTTTTCGTTTGTTCTATATCGTTTTCCGCATTGAGAATACCATCCTGACAAAACAGAACTTGCCCTAGCTGGGTAATAAAAGTGACTTTCATCTGTTGCGTGACTAACTCATCGAGCGAACCAGCGAAGCGAATAGTGAAATCTTACCGGTTGCAACGTGGGCAAACATTGCGTGTACTCAGCCCAGCTTCTTTCGAACAGTGCATATTTTATCTATTTGTGCCCTGACAACATTCAAAATCGGATACTTCATTTACCACATAAAGATCCATACAGTACATTGATTGATAAGTAGGCTCGATATGAGAGGATGAACAAGACAGCAACACAATGATAGCGAACGAGCGGAAACTGAGTCATTAAGATCCATCACATAGCTTTTAAGCGACTCAATACTCCACAAAAAAATGTCTCGATGAATAGTTTGAAAAAAAAGAAAGGAAAAAACGTTGCCCTTTTCAACTAGAAAATCATTATTTGTCTTATCACGCAAGAGCAACATGCAGGATCATCGAAGAACGAATAGTGAAATATTTTAACAAAAGCTCCGATAACGCATGACTCAGACACGAATTGAAACCCTAACGATGCTAACCCTAGGCCAACTCTATACGCCTAAAGGCCTAGCTTCAAATTCCAACTGATCATACAAAGCTGTGAAGAAATCTTAGTCCTTAACATATTCGCAACGAAGCTCGCTTTTTAAGAAAAAACGACAATTCCTCCAATTCTAGAGAGGTGTTAGAACTGAAAACGAGAAGAAAAAACCATGTGTGGGTTATAACGTCACGAATATGTTAACGCAGTTGCTTCTGATGCACAAAGCAGACGTTTTCAATTAAATACCATAATTACAAGAATATAAGCAATTCACAAGCAGGAATTGAAACGTGCCACAGCTTGATGCCACTCAGTTGATATGAATGTTTCAGAAAAAAATGCTTCCATTTCCTGAAGATTTTCTGATAACATTCAACACATTTAATGTCACTATCACTTCAATATAGTTGATGTCACTATAATCCACTATAATATGACGAAATGTGGGAATGAAGAGCACAAAAAAACACCTGAATAACTCTGTCCCAGTCAGGAAAGTGGTCACAGTCAGGGATGTTTAGGAAATCGTGGAAAATTTTCTCCAGCAGTGGACGAATAATAAGGCGCCTTAAAATAAGAGCAACTTCAAAATGAGTTAGATGTTAAAAGAAATTCGATCGATCTGCATAATGGACACAAATATAAACACATTTAGCAACCCTTACAAACACCTCTGGCGTGTACAATTTCAAACGTGAGAGACAAACGACATATCGACAATATCCACCCTATGTTTGTTCCCACGACAACAAGTCTGACCAGTGCGTCGTACTGTCCACACATAACCTACCAGTGTTTCGGAATATCTTTTTTATTCACTTGTCTAATAGTTCCGCGCGACTTTTTGTGATCAACCCATTGCGAGCAACGATACTATTGGTAACTGACTCCCTGTTTTTAATAATTTCGCACGACTTCTCAAACTGAATTTTCCGTCCATCCTTAAAAATCGCACCTGTCTGCGCCTTTGTCCAAAACCGGCTAGATCTTAACACGTTCTACTGAACCGTATAAAATTTTTGCCGCAACAACAATTCTTTCAAAGAGTCCTCTACCAGGGACAAAGCTACCGCGTCTGCGACGGACTTTTTTCAGGGTATCTAGAATAGACGCTGACGCATCAGCTGATAATGCTCATGCAATGGATGAAGTTACCGTGGATGATTTCACAACCCAAATATTCACACTTGTTGACTACCAATTGAGGAAAAACGAATATTGCGAAATTGTTGCCCACCGTTGGCGTTAGAGTACTGGATTGACAGGTTTTGCCAAACATTTAGGCAGAATATTGGTCAAAACTGAAGCCATTTTTTAAAGTTTGGTACTCCTTTTTTTAGTTTGAACAACTGATTTATACAACATTGACGTTTTGCTAATGCGCCAAGGTGATGGCACCAAGATGAAAACGTCATGGAACTTTGCACCATCAACAAAAATGGTGTAAAATGTAAAAAAAACAACAACCGAATTCCCTTCCATCTTTTCGAACCAGAAAATAGTTCGAGGCTGACTCGGAAAAGAAGAAAAAGGAAAGAAAGAGAACGAATGACGTTGGGTAGTTCACTAGGGGAATGCGTAATCACCACTGTGAATGAAAATGGGTGGATCAATATCAGCATTACAAAAACCGTTCCTCAAAGGACCATTATACCCACGCGATAATATGTTGCGAAACGTTTGTCATTCATTTGTCCTCGTGAAGTGCAGAGTGTCCTTGGGTTTCACAACGAGGAACTGGAAAGCAGATACCAAGGATGATAAGATGGGTAGTTTACTCCATGCACAGAGGACGGAAATATTCCAAAACACAAAGGATGAAAACTCGGTCTTCTTAGGAAGAAAAAACCTATTGACTGATATAAAACGTTGGAGATTTTAAACCTTAAACAGCGAAGATAAAGACTGAATTGAAAAATACGAAAGTAGAAATACATCCCGAAACATTATGTGGTTGAACAGAGCAAACTGTCTTCTAAAAACATCTAACGTTCACAACGTCCATTTCAATTCTTATTGAACTCTAAATCTTCAACAACCTTATGAGAATTTTTTTCTGGACCTCGACCACTTCGAAAATTGACACTTTACAGTGAGGCGCGGATAAAAATGCATTGTCCCACAAGTAATTCATTAAAACTGCTAGCTGTCGTCAATATGCTCCACGTCCACGACTACCTACCACATACTAAGCTTATTTGGATACTTAGATGACCCGTCCTCACTGGTTGTGTGGACCCCCAACACAATCTCCATTCTACGCAGATTTGCTTGTTCCTTAGAGTCCCGAGGACAGTCTGGTCAGTCTGCCCCAAGTCGTCACTACCACAGGTACTCACCACCTTTGTTGATAGGAGGAAAATTTGCCACTAGGCGACTAGTTTAATACCATGAAGATGGTGGATCCTGGTATTGGTTTACTCTTAGCTAGGCTTCCTGATGGAAACGCCGGACTTCTCAGCTTGGAAGACTCTGCCTGGAGGATGAATCCGCCCGCTGTAAGTCGCCGTCCGACAGCCAGGAACCCTTCCCAGTCCCGATGAGGCGATAAACCGATGAGAGGCATGCTATTAAACGCAAATGAAATATTGTTCTATCAGAAAAATTATTCATACCTCTTCATGACGTTCTGTAGTCTGAATCCTCCGTCTGTCTTTACTACTTCAGCGTACTTATTAAAGATGATTACATGCAAAGTGCCAACAAAACCAAAGTAATCAGTTTGGAATGTCCAGGGACGACCATCCTAAATGATAGAAAGTGGAAAGAAGCAAAACGACAGCTCACAAAGGTACGTTATTTTATGTTAGACCTAAGTAGTTAATGGTTTTTATAGAAATAAATAGACATTATTTAGGTAAAAGATAAACATCAGTAGGTTAATACATTTGAAAGATGTGACTCGGTATTCGCATATTTCGTGGGTATTGAACCTAGGTTTGACTTGTCAGCCAGAGTAGATAATGTAGAGAGTATTCTCTACTCTGGACAGAATAGTCTCGATTTTACCTTTGGTCTCGCATATATGTAGTACACTACGAACAGTATTTACTGCTGCCTTATCGATTACTTTTCAAGTTAATAGACACAACATCTGTGCGCTTGAGGGCCTGCCATATGATCATACTTCTCAATAAACTACGGTCAAGGTAGCATCGTCCGTGGCTCGACCCTGCGACGTTCTCCACTCAGTTCATGCATGGCCAGCGTTATGCCATTCGCTCGGATTCTGGTTACCCTGCTTAGATCACCCTATCTACAAAACCTATTGAATCGCTTTCCACTTGAATTTTCTATATAAACAACGCCATTACTCACGCTTCGGTCCGTACAAGTAGTGTTCTTTTACAGTCCTCATCCTTTTTTTTCTTTTATTTCATGTAGCACAATTTAACTACCGAGCCCTTCGATAAAATAAACAACCTTGAGTTCAGTTGGTCGTTACTCTAAATCACTCTAATCACCGATGTCTTAGTTATTCCTTACTCTTTGCCACAGTTGTTCTTCACACTACGTACGTAACCAGCCTATTACATAAGGTTCATACGCAACCATGAACCTGTTTTTCTTTTTTTCGTCAAATCGTATTCTATATAATATAACCTTTTCACAACCGTTGTCGATGCGCTTCTACTGCTTACATTTCTTAACACTGTTATGCCGCTATTGTTGCATTACTGATATAGCCGGATTAATTGCCCAAATTTGAGACTACGAAAAGCGACACTTTTGAAAGTACTGCTTAGCAGGCCGAAAAAGGAGGAGCAACTACTCACACAGCTTAATCGACACAAATGATAAATAATACTTAAATCAACATTTCACTTTTCCAAAATACTTCCACCAAACCATAGGTCGCATTCCTTTAAAGTTTTGCCGCCTCACTGTTGCATATTTTGAATTTTAAACGGCGACTTACAACTAGGAGTTAGTCGATCCATCATCAGGAATTTTCAACGTCACAAAAACGGTATATTCATCGAGAACAGAAAGTGCCAGAAATCGCTGTCGTCTTGGTACAAACTAGACCCACTTTTCGATCAAGACCAAGAAGACAGGCATAGCTACACAACTATACAAAGTCACAAAAAAATTTAATAAATAAGTCATGAATTAGGTGCATTTCTTAGAGCCGATATAACAACTTGTCTACTAAAGCTAAGACATCAGACAGTAGATAACCTCTCAACACAACTGCCCAACTTGCTAAGTGATATACAACCCCCTCTAAGTTGTATCAATGGTCACAGGAGCCGCTTAGATACCACAGATAATAGCACCTCTCATTTACACTAGCACTACTCTAGTAAGAAGACGATTTTGACATCTATTCCTAATTGACTGTTATCACAAATACACAACGAAGACAAAGATTCTGCCGATTTCCGCCACCTCCTATAGAAAACGTGGTAGGACAGGACAATATCATTTCACGTTTCCCGTTCGCCGCTGCACTGAAGTGCATAGTCGTCTAACCGGCTTGAAAAGGACACTTGTATTCATAGTAAATTCTCATCAAGTCTTTTTGTCAATGAAACCTTATAGTGCCGTCACGTAAATACTCATTATTTGTCTAGAAAGTGAACAAAATAAATAGCTCATGCTACCATACCAGCATCTCAGAGCAGTTAAATTTCTCCGTCCCACTTTTTCCAGTAAAAGTAATACCGGATAAGAAGTGCATGTCGATCGCCCGACCCCAATCGATAAGTCTCAAAAATGGTGTAGAAAGGATCATCCGTACATCATCACCATCATTCAGTCTAAATATGAATAGTATAAAAAGCACAAAAATATAAAATAAAACAAAGAGTAAGAGATAGGAAACTAACTTATTAAGGATCATAAAGTTGTCAGGCTTAACATCTCCATGAATAACTTTGACATTGTGTACATCACGTAGTATTTTTGCCATGTGTATAGCAATTAGAAGAACTATGTACCAGCTTGGATCCTTCATTTTATTAGAAATATCCTGCAAATGTCTAACATCCTTGATAACCATAAATGAACTGTTCCTAATATTAAACGTTCCCCAATGCTTCTACAAAAACCATACGGAACAATGTTCTAATAGACAATTTCTTTAAATTTAAATTAAACATTACTCATTCTGCTGTCGTGGTAATAACAACAATACGTGCCAGCAAGATAATTCTGTTGTATTTACCTGTATACCCCGTAGTCCCGTAGATCGCCGATCGCTTCCTCCTGTTCAGTTCTGGAGTTAGGTCCCTCATCACACTGATTTTCCGACCAAGATAGACATAGTTGGGGTATCCGGAGATTTTCATTCGGCTGAGAGTAAATGGGGAACATGCAACCAATCCGTTCCTTATGAACATCGTTTCTGTGAGATTCAGTCGAAAACCAATCTGTCCACGAGCCTTATCAAAGTTGGCAAGCATTCGTTCCACATGGATAATGCTTCGTGCTATAAGAACGATGTCATCAGCTAGCTAATCAAAGATTGTGTAATTGCCGACTATCGATTTTCGCTCTCACGCTTTTCCACTGCAGTGCTCGCATGACGTTCTCGAGGGTGGTATTAAGTAATTTTGGCGAGATGGTATCGTCATGCCTAACCCTTCTTCTGACGTCGATGTTAATATCGTTGCAGAATGGATATATGTTGGCTATAAAATCTTTACATAGCTCATGAAGAATTTTTATATCCTGACTAGAGACTTCACAGATTTGAAGAGCACCTGAGGTTCTAAGTTTTCCTCATATCTCAGCATCTTTCCGATTATATACAGTTTTAAGGATAAAGAACAAAATATTTTCCATAAGTATGCAAGGCGGCAATCCGATATGCGAATTCATCGATAAGGAATCGAACAGCCGGTACTGACAAGACATGACCTGAATAAGTGAAGAACCTACGGTACACTAAGAACCAGCTATGTGCACCTGCCAATATGATAGACCACTTAGCTCCGGAGTTAAGGAGGAAGCGAGCGGCTTGGAAACTTGCAAGAACAACGGGAATATCATTTGGAGAACAAAGAACATCCAACTCCGTGCCCAACTTTTCGACTCTACGATTCATCCTGTCTAAACGTATGCGTCAGAAACCTGGCCGCCAGGATGAAGGATGATGATCAGCGTTATTGAACGCGTAGTCGTAAGGATGATGCTAGGACTGTTCCGTATCACACAAATGAAATAAGGGATCTGAAACTCCGACCTGCGTCAATGGTCAAAAATCAAAGATGCCGTTCTATAAACCAAATTGTCAAAGGCAAGGGGGCTGGACACGTTATGCGCATGAACAACAACCGATTGACAGAAACCGTTAGCGACTGGATTCCTCGGGATGTCAAACGTACTGCAGGTAAACCACAGATCCGCTGGTCAGAATCTTTATCAAAAACCTAGAAGAAAGGTATGACGCTCAACGAGTCCCTAGAGCGAGCAGAACCCACTGGGCTACTCTTGTGCGTGATAGGTAAAAATAGAAGGTTCAATGGAACTCACATGAGTAACCCGACAATCATTGGAACGACAAATGATACACGTGATGCAGATCATAACATTGTCTTTTGATGGAGAAGTTCCTAATTATGGTAGAAAAATGAGCCTTGTCACGAATGTGCTAACTGTGCGTGATCATCAATCTTTTCCCAGTTTACTGCCTTCTAACATTTACATGGTGGCGCCTAATTTTACTCTGCAGCAGTCCGGAACTACACCCATTTCCGCGTCGTTACGGACCTGGTGGCTTTTCGATAATAGATTGTATTTCAATAGCCGTGAGGTGCAGTGGTCGGAGGCGCTTCACGACACACCCGTTGGGATCGTATTATCAAGTCTTCCATCCCTCTGGGGTCCGCAAATTGGTACCAAACTTGTCTGGGGGGATAGCAGCGCTGGCTCGATACATCGGTCGGCCACCGCAAGTCATTTGTAAAGGTCAGATATGCATCCAATCATCTCCAATTATGATTAATGAAGTCGAATGCATGGCGCATTCCTCAGGGGATCAACGTCGTTTTTTGTTTCAATAGCCGGGAGCCTTACAAGGTTGAGAATATGAAATTTATAGAACAGTCTTTGCTGTATTGTTACATGAATATGAACGGTATGATCCTACTACCCACTACGTGCTTCTATGGTCCATTACACAACCACACTGCTGCCGACATTCTGAAATGTTCTAATATGTAATTGATAAATAATCTTATAAACCGATCTTGCTGAGCTAATGTGAAGCTGGTATAGGTTTTTATTAACGACGACAACGACAGCGGAAACCTATACCAACCTCGCATCAGCTCAACAAGATCAGTTCATAAGACGATATAAATAAATATATGTTCGAGTATGAGTTTAGTGTACCGGTATGCCTTTTACACACCCACTGAACCATAACTCATCATAACGACTAGCCGAGATAACGGTTAACTACAGGTCAACGAAGTCGTTCGATAAACGGTTTTTTTTAAAATATTTCTAAGTGCAGGATAGAGCTCTTCCTAGTCGATATCCACCACACTTGCGGACTGATTACAAGCAGTGTAGGAAAGGGTTTCTCTAGGTAAAAGAAAATGACCGATCAAATGATTCCTAAAGAAGTTATATCTTCGCGTAAGTGTTAACGTATCACGTAGGAACATATAACGTAGTGTAAATATGAATCACCTTGAATATAACTCTAAGCATATAAATCACAAATGGCAAGGAATATAAAAAATAAGTGCTCCTCAAAGAACTATGGAAACGTACCAGAAGAGTCCCATAGGGGTGATATTCACTAAAAATTACAGAGGCATTAATAAATACATAAGCCTCGGTAACCTAAAAGGTGTTGATTCAGACAAACATAGACCACAGATATGTAATCAATGACAAGATCAAACTTTCTAAGCAGCTAATAACCTGCATCACGCTGTCCAAAGCAAATTTTCTGCCTTTGTTTAAACGCGTTCTCAGCTCCGAACATATATAGACTTCCCATGGACACGAAGGAGTCTCGTACTAGAACCATGAAAGACTTGAAAAGCGTATTAAACAACTGGTGGTCATAGAAGCGGAAAAGTCCTTGCCTTTAACGCCAGTGTTCTTCCTTCCTCGTTTACCGTTTTGTACACTTTCGCGTAACCACCTTGACCAATAAAAGCAACTATATTGAATGCTTCTCCACCAAAATTTGCCATTTCTCCGACGGAAACGTATGGACATGTCACCTAAAATCTACCAGTAAAACACTATGGTTAAAATAAAAGCACTAAGTGATAGGTCCAAGAAATCTTGCATCGAATTCGTGCTGGTAACAAGGCTTGCGACTTCTTTTGAGGATTTTCGCTTGCAGCTGTCTATCCCAAGGATTTATACTGGTAGTCTCGACTATTCTGTAAATCGCGTGTTTTAGTACGATCAAAACATGTTTAAACAACGTCATGAAAATTCTGATCACACACAATGGAAGTACCACTCCAGTTTTAGTATGATCACCAGAATCCGCCCTGTTCATTTCTATTGCATCTTTCGACTCTCCCAAATTCATTCTATTCAACGCTATTTCCATACAGCGCTGAGCATCCTGAGCTGGCCTAACCTTGGGGAGAGAACTCTTCGTTACAGTGATAGATTTCGATAGAGCGAGAGAACGACGTCTCTAAAGAAGTATTAATGACCACTGTAATGTCCATAAATCGTACGAATACTAGGGCTATTCTCACCATAAATGCAGACTGAGCATACAAGAGTTCTTCATCTTTCTCTTTCCTCATTTGCTCTTCCAACTCTTTATTGAGTGGTGCAAAAAAGTCTAGAATAGTGTGGCTTTCTCGCACATCTAAGTAAATGAAAGGCTCCAAACCGTTAAATATATTAGAACCGACCTTCGTGAGATGGTGGTTTAAGAGTGTGGTGAGCGGGAGTTGATGTCACAATTCCACGATCAGGTTTCTTGTCTATTCCCAAAGCTGAAAACTTTGCTCCTGCCACTGTTTCTTCATCATCTAAAATGGAAATAGCAGTTTAAATGAGTGCACGTCCTTACCACAAGCATAGGAAAGTATGTCACATACTATGTCAACAATTTACATATAAGATTTTACCTACCTCGGTTTTAAAAAAGCCACCTAAGTCGAGGTGATACACTTCTGAGAACCTTAATCCAAACAGCTTCATATCCTTCGTTTAACAGAAGTAGATATAGATTAGAAAAAAGAATAAAGCTTTCGGCGTTGATCTATCTCAGAGGTGTGCGCCATGCACTTGACTTCATTAAGCATCGTTGGAGTTGACTGAATGCATATTTGGTCTTTACAATGACTCGCGGTTGCCTACCGATGTATCGCGCCAGTGCTGCTATCCTCCCAAACAAGTCTGGTACCAATTTGCCGACACTAGAAGAAGGGAAGGCTTGGTGGGCCATGAGCGCGGAGATCGACTCCACGTGTGTGTCGCAGTGGCGCCTCCAACCACTGCGCTACACGCGTCTTTCATATATATGTGGTGCACATATATACATACATATATATATGCACGCATACATTACATACACATACTTTGATGGCCACTCTTCACTGGATGTGCATGCCCCAGCGTAACTTGTATTTTTTTGGAAGCTTTGCTGGTTTAGCCACTGTAGTTCCCTGAAGTCTCGAGGTCGGCTCAGTCAGTCTTCCCCAAGTCGTCACCACCACAGGCACTCGCTACCTTTGCGGATCAGGGGGAAATTTGCCCCCATGCGACTCTTAGCTGGGCTTCCCGATGGAAATGCCTCACTCCTCCTCAGCTTGCAAGAGTCTGCTGGGCGGACGAACCCAGCCAGTAGATCGCAGCCTGATACCCAGGAAGAGTTCACCAGTTACGATGAGGCGGTAAACTGTTGAGAGAATATCGCATACCATGTATTATATATGCATACATATATATACATATACACATACATATATACATATGTACAAATATTATTATATACGAATTATTTGTGTAAATATATGGTATCCTAACATAATCTAATCCTTGACTAAAATAAAAAACACTAATGCACTAAAAAATAAGAATTGTAAGGAGAGTGTGGCCGACTCAATACGGATGAGGAATTCGCGGCACTATTCTGTTAGCGAAATGAATAATACTTGCTGAAATACTTCGCTGCTTCAGAAGGAAACTTTGCTGATAAAAGATGATAGAATAAACAGATTTGTTTCTCTCAAGCAAAGATATGTAGATTCTCGCAGTTCTTATCCTAGGCAATAATTCACTATAGATGGAATACAGTTGCTTGAAGGCTGTAGTTTTAAGAGTTTTGCCCACATATCGTCAAGAGTTAACAGTATACTTCTGAACTTCAGTAGCGCAATGTAAAAGACACTTCTCATATGTGAAACTAACCGATAAACAGTGAGCTCCTTCTTTTAAGAACGTCACCAAGCCCACTCTTTTGGCAGTTTTCCTGTACCTAAAACCAATATTGTTTGAAGAAATAATGGTTCGAATAAATGCAACTCACATTTGGATCTAACCGTCCTTTTGAATCACCTTCCATATTGGAAAGCCAAACTGTTTGGAATGGAATACGTTCTTCGTGTGATTTTACAGCATGTTGAGATGGAATGCTAAAGTGAGCATGAACATTAGTGGTATACGCATACAGCTCACTGTAGTCGTAGTGATCCAAAACACAGTGATTCGGTCATAATATGCACTTCAAACGTACTTTTCGGCACCCTTAGCTTCTGAATCTGGTTGTCTTAATTCCTCATCGACGAAAACCTGGATTGTAAAACAGTGACTTGCAAAATCAAGTGGAAATTGGGAAAAAGATCTGACCTCAAATGCTTCCACAACAGGTGTAGAGACTGGGAGAGTTGTTTCGTCGGTTATTCCACGTAGACTACCTAGTAAACTCGAATCCAGTCACCGTTTCGTGATAGAATAAATGCCTAAGCAACAACGAACCTTGATTGATATCTACAGTATCCGAAAACATAGCCTTCATATCGTTATATGCCTTCTCAGTAAACGATGAACCGATAATAAACGTAGCATTTGAGGATGACGTTAAGACCTCAGGTTGAGCTAAAAGGAAACGACTATTTGGTAAATCACGACCGATTTCGATTTTTTGTTAACAAATAATAATGAAGAATGTAGCACTCGAAAATCTCAAATTTCAAAAACTCGAGGAAGGACCTCCGCCTTAACGCTCTAATCATGTGCACAACCTTGAATCGTGATTTTAATTTAGAAAGGGTCTAAATTTGACGTTTTTGAAAAGCACTCTACTAAACGTCTGGAAAACACACATTTCTGCAGAAGTGCAGTGGAAACACTGGAGCGAGTGGGCTGAGCAGGAGAGGGAACGTGACGACGTTTCTCGTCATTCGAAAACTCCAAGTCGCATTCTTCAACCGTTTCCAAAACTCTGTTCCTCTTCGGAAACTGTAAATTTTGACTAAAGAAAAGAAAATTTGCGAAAAATGGACAACTACTAAATGCAACTACAGACCAATACCAAATTCTTATCTGAAGAAACGGGAAACTGTACCTCGTTCGACAACTGGGAACTTGGTTGGACATTTACAGTCGGTTCCTGTAGATATGAAAATTATTTACGGAAGCTAAGGGATGGAAAAAAATGAGAAAAAGAAAAAAGTGAAAAACCGTCGAAGAGACATACGGACTGCACTGCTGTGATATCCATGGGTGCATGAAAGAAGTCGTCAAGCGTTTGCTGGTCAGCAATCATTGCCTCTCTCAGTTCCTCGATTGAAGGTGCAATGTAGGAGTCGTTAGGACGGTCGACGAGCACATGTCGCAATATTGAACGTTCTTAAACAATTTTATGCCGAGGTCAAAAACTCGTCATGTCTGCAAATTTGTTTGCTTAAGTTTAACGTAAAAGAGAAAATCAAGATTACATACTATTTGGGCCGAAATATGAACTAGCCGTCTCAACAGTAGGATTGGGCGTTTCCATAGCTTTGTACTCAAAATTCGCCAGAGATGAGCGACGACGGTCTACAAGCGAGGATTAAGCTATGTTCTAAACGTTTTAGCTATACGGTGGACTTTATAATAAACTAGTAGAATCGAGTTCGGTATTAGACATTGGCAAATAAACAAGATACTTTCTAACACACTAATATCCCATACTTCTCTTTAATTTTGAGTCAGCAGCTCTATTGGTGTTAAGCACAGCCATAGTTTCCTCGTCATCATTGAAAATTTTGCTGTCAGGAAAGTACTGGTCCAACAGGTCCCTGGGATGAAATAACTATCCATTTCTATGTTCTTTCACTACTGCATGCACCAATAATGTTATTCGAGAACAGAAATCAGGATTTACCTGAACCCTGCTTCCACTTCGACTGAAGGGAAATCGTGGAGACGACGCCTCGCCAAGGATAGTACATTGACGAATTCGTTCAAGTCACCACTCTGAGCATAACTTTCAGCCCACATAAGGTGAAACTTGAGCGAATGACGGAATCGTCCCTGCTCTTCAACCTTTTCAAATACTTTCGCTGCTCCCATGTTTTTGCTGTATTTGGCCTGAAAACGAAACTTAGTCCTGATATCACTAAGCACTATCAACCACGCACCAATATCCTGTATAATCGAAGCATATCTTCCTGGCCAACCAAGGACCCTTCTTTGTGCAAGGAAGTTACAGCACTGTGGGCTTTCTCTTTCACTTTTGAAGGCATATAGATCTCCCAAGCTTCTAGATTCCTGAAATTTGCTTAGTGTATTCTCAATTGTTCCTCTAAATAAATGATCTCGCATCATTTTCATTTTATTACATAATCCTTACCTATTGTTAAAATTTTAAAACTATAACGTTGAATGCAATCGTGTTAATATGCGACACTCCTGCATCTACGCAGAATCACAACGCGTGCAAATACCTTAGATTCATCAAACATGAACTTTATGCTGGAGAAACTTTTTCCAGGATTATGCCCATCAACTCTTACGCGACGACGTGACCTACACCTGAGCTTATAGTAAATTTTAGTGACTGGAATAAAAGCTGTAAAAATGCACAACTGTTGTCCCAAATGATACAAGTGGCTTTATTACACCAAGGTCACGAGTAGTATTCCTTTCACTTTTTTGTTTAACGATCCGTCTTTTGAACACGAAGGCAATTCAATAAACGGGATTCCGTCCAGCAAGACAATATGGTCTTTTGCAAAGATTCGTTTATGTTTACAGTTGCCGTTCTTGCACTGGACTGATATCAAATTAAAAATTTAATCAAGCTTCCGATGTTTTGAGAACTTTAGTTGTAGACATATCTGGATCTTAAAGGACATTGTACAAAAGCAACATGCCATTATTTCGGTAGAACAAAGTCTCGCCTACACATTTATAAAATTCTAGACTCCAAAAGTGTTTAGTCATCCAGGAAATATCGTCAGTTATCGAAAAACTAGCACTGCCATGAAAGGGCTAACAGAGAAAAAGAACTTACTGGAAAACTTCAAAAATAAACTACCTTAGTAGAACTACACAAAATCACTTACGAACAAATCATCTTCAAACCATCAGGGTTCGGCTTCTCCATCATTTCTCTATAAAGAAAGACACATAGTGAGAACCAAACGGCGTATAATATTGCACAAACTCACTTCAAGAGCAAATTGAACGAGTCCATTATGCTGCCAAAGAAATGCTGTTTGTAAGAACTAAGCCTGAAAAAATCAAGCAATAGAATGAAAACGACCCACGAATAACGCCACTAGAGCAATGTGACACGAGGATAAAACCACAACAATATGACCCACAAGACGACCCACTGGATCTCATGTGGGTGACGGCTAACAGACAACAAATTCGAATCTCTGCCTCTCCCGCGCAGAACTATTGTCGGTGGAGCGCGAAATCTTTGAAAGACAAGCATCCAGGAGAGTGGCGCCAGCGTGCCATGATGAACGGTGTTCAGTGCTTATGTTATGGGACTATCCCTTATTCTTAACTCCGCTTAATACGCATTACGGCACGAAACCCTTCTCTTTGTGCTTATGTCAGCATCAACAATCCTTGAGGTGCTCCTTCTATAAGGAGGGATATCGTCGCCACGAAACGATGTGTGATGACTAGTGCATTGATTGAAGTTGCTAACAGAACTTAAGGAGTAGTTTACAGACTTTGCTAGAGTATCTGTGGGAGTAACAAGTTAGAGCGCTACAAAAAATAACGAAATGGATTTAAACGGATAGAACATGGAAGTGTTGAATCGGAGCGTTCGCGGATTGGTTGTGCTGATCAGCTCTGCTCTTGCTCTGCTATGGAGATCTCACTATGTTGTCTTCACTTTTGACCTTTCGATACCGGAGTTTAGGCTTTACATGACAGTAGTGGTGCAACAATAACGACATTATGTCCTAACTTTTATTCATTGCCTGTTCTTTTTTCATGGTAGATAGTGTGTGGAGAACACAAGGATGCTGAGATATGAGCAAAACTTAAGCCATAGGTGGGCGATACCGTAACAGGAATTTACATGTAATTGGTACAAACACTAATCAAAGCAATATGCAGAAAACATGTGAAGTGTGGAGATAAAAGAGTTAAAGAGGATCTACAGCAGCGGATTAATAAAGTGTGGGTATAAATGAGCTATGGAAATGGTGCTAGGGAGAATCGAGAGCAAGCAATCGATCGAAAAAATGATCAAAATGGCTCCGAAACTGAGAACCCGGTCCTTTATACCATCTTCGATGCGACGCTTGAACACGTTGACCGCTCGAGTTATCAAGTAACATAACAGTTTACAATCAACGAAACGCTCCCTCGAAATTCAATGAACATGAAGAACAATGTAAGGGAAGAATTAGACACAAAAAAGAGAGCAGCATTGGGGAGTGGGGTCGCATTCGGCGCTCTCGAAGAAGCCACCGGGACACTAGAGGACCTAAAACTCCGCGCTCACCTTTTCCACCCAACAGTTCTCATAGCGCTCCGGCGTGGGCTGATACTTTAACCACGTCAAGAACTCTCCACACCACCCAAAGAGAGCTTGAACAATGCCTTCGGAAATATAATCAGTACACACAACGTCTAGCAGGAAGTAGAAGCTCTGACCATTGAAATCTTTCCTATCTTCGAGGTTCAGGCGAACTCGACGACGCCAGCGTGATCATAGCAGCCCACCATCATGGACGACAATTGTGCGAGAGAGAAACGAGTGGGAATTGAGCTGCGGCTCCCACCACTAGTGAAGGCTGGCCATCCAACTATCCAACTGAGTAGGTATGAATGGTCTTCGCATTGTGTTTCTTCTAGTCAACAAGCTCTGTTGTGAAGCTCTTTGGATGTTCTCTTGAGTTTAACGTAAGCATTGAATTCGCTATTGATGATCGAACAGAAGGTATTTTTATATCTGTAGAATTTTTCCAAGTCCATACAGAAAGCTTCGACCTCTATCTGGTCATAGCTTTTTGTCGGGTGCAATCAACGGAAATTGTGAATGCTGGGATTATTCCTTATCTTTCCAAGCATAAGTGCGTCGTCAGTTTCTCAAAGGAAGCGATGTTCATTCAAAGCTCATATCATGAAAACCTGTCCTTCTAGCTGCTCCCCTTTCACGCATTTCGAGAAGCAATCCTCTAACGTCAATAACCGAGGTGGGTTAGCGGTTTCTTCTTGCCTCCCACAGCCTAATGATATTATATTTGATACTTTATTATACGTAACTTAAATTAAAATACTAGGGATTTTAGCTTCTACTACCTGGTTTCTAAGAGAAGCTTCTGATGATATTGCTGCTCAGGAATTCTTTGGTCTTCCTCATGGAGGCTGATCGATTATCCCTGGAATCTCTAGATTGCATAGGGCGTTCCCAACTCTTCATCTAAGGCCGTCGCCCACTTTTGTGGACCAGAGGGAGCCTTTTCCATGGAAATCTAGTTTCACTTCTCGACATTGGAATGGATGAGTGAGGTAGGCTTGCTTGGTCCGAGGCGAGATGGATTCACTGCGCGTAGTTCTGAGCCGTCTATGTTTAGGACTGAGGTAATGACCTCGACCTATAACATACTTTCATTTGCATTTGCGGACCACATTGAAGACCTGATTATGCAGGCAGGAAGGACAAGGTACGTCGTCATCGGAGTGGGCGAGACTAGACGACGCCATCCATTCAACGCCGTCTATGACACCGGAGAAAAACTGTTCCTCGAAACATTTGGCAGTGGAGGAGCCAGCGTCGTGGACGTTTTCGTCAACAGGAGTTTGTCCATGAACATCGATTCATTCAAACAACTAACAACGCTGGTCGAACGTTTATGGTTGAAGAGATATGGTTCAATACCGGCTTTGAGAAATTTCGCAGTTTATGCACCGACTTCAAGCTATGACCAAGACAAAGCCAGGCATTCTACATGGATTTGGTGAAGTTCTACACCGAAGACCATATATTCTTTAAGGCCAATACTGGAGACTAAGAATGGACCCAGAAGAACGTCATATTGGGACCCACGGATTGGAATGGAACGAGCGAGATAACGGCCGTCTGAATTTATCACGACGACCAAAGCTATTCGTAGCAACTCGCAATTCCAAAAACCTCACTCCCAACGACGAAATGAACCCATATCATGCTTAATCGAAGGTTTTGCTTAACCAAATTTGCTGTTGCTCCAGAATTCTACACAAGACCAGCCCATTGCCTCTTTTGTGCAAGATCCCATTTCTTGCGGAAATGGGAAAAAGCAGTAAGTTCAAAAAGTGGAATCCCAAAACCATCATAAACTGGGATCTATTCAAATCATTAAGCGGCTGCTGGGAACATACGGCCATTGATAACATCGACAAAAAAATCGATCGGTTCACTCAACATCTTCACGTTAGCGCTATGAAAACTGTGAGCTCGAAAGTAAACACCTACACACCTGACAGGCAATCGCTAACGAAGGAGGAGTAGCAACAGTAATGACTAAAGCTGCAGAGTTTAGAAAGAGCATTAGCAAACCCTTTCGAAATTTCGCCAATTATCAGACCAACGTAATCGCCGTGTAGTACACTTACACAGTACCGTGATTTCAATATGTACACTGGTGGCTCCACTAACCATAAATACTGCCTTCGATAGCGGGTACTGTCGTGGAATTCAGGCAGCTGAGGCAACTCATCCGGAAACGGTTTTCCGCAACGTATTGAGCGTTAGGAGTGGGTAGCGCAGTGGTAGTGATTCATTCACTAAGCGGAATCCTGATCTCTCCATGATTCTGCTCGTTCCGAAGACAAGAATTTGATAACAGCCTTATCTGGGACAAGCCTTACTACCTCCAATCCACACGGGGAACGTCTTGGCCCGACCACCTCAGGATTCTAGACAGAATCGACTCGATCAGCATTCAACGACATTCATGCCGACGACGAAAATCTTCAAGCAGCAATCGAACTCCTAGGAGAAAAGTTCGAAAACCTTCGTTGACGGTGGATGGGAGGAAACGAATCGAAATCAGGTGCTGGGTTCTGCACAATGTGATATACATGGCGTTGAACCATGTTTTAAAAAAAATTTTGGTTTTCCACGTATTTTCTTGCCTATTTTCGTGCCTTTTCGTGTCCTACGAATCTAATATCTTCTTCAATCTATCTTGTCATGCTTTTGAAAAATATTTAACTCTTTCGTGTGATGATGACAAAACTCCTTTCAGCGGTTTACTGTCTCATCGTGGCTGGGAGACGTTCTTGGGTGTCGGACTGCGATGTCCAGCGGGGGATTCATCCTATGGGAGGGTCTCCCGAGCTGAAAAGGAGTCCGGCGTTTCCATCAGGAAGCCTAGCTAAGAGCAAACCAATACTAGGATCCACCACCGTCCTGGTATAAAATTAGTGGCATGGTAACAAATCTCCCTCTGATCCACAAGGACTGGTACTGCCTGTGGTGGTGAAGACCTGGGGTAGACTTGGGCAGGCTACCTTCGAGATTCCAGGAAACCACAAAGGCTTAAACAGCAAGTCTCCGAAAAATGGAGATCGTGCTGGGACCCGCACAACCAGTGAGGACGGACCATTTAAGCATCAAGTAAGTAGGATGACAAAACTTGTCCGCCATCCAACCACACTGCTGTTGGCCTTTGGTAAACTTTTGTGAGACATGCAAGGTATATTCTGATATTTCTATAGTTTTTTTTGCATCTACTGATTCCATACGATACCTATGAATCGTCGTGGTGATTGAAAATAACTGGCAATCAATTGCTGGTCAAAAATTCGCTGCTAGAAGCTTGAATAATGTAGGTAGCAGATGAAGTAAGCTCCAAATTCACGTGACCAGTCACTGAGAGTGCATTGGAAGACACTGAAGACAGTGAATGGAATGAGAGACTTATACCGCTATATATATATATATATACCGCTGCCATCAGCAATCACCCGTCAACGGAGATGAAAGAAAACTAGCCGAGAGACAGGCGAAGCGAAGGATCCGCATGGAGTGGTGGTGAACACGTTAGCCCCCAGAAAGGGTGATAGCGCGTTCGTTCCCTACCAGCGACACCTACGGTCTCTGGATTTTGCAGATATCCCAGCATTGTCTTGCTTGTATATAAATTGTTAGTAAAAACTACGCACTAAAGAAGATAACGATTGTGGCGGCTGTGAATAGAGTTTATAGAATGTTAGGGATTGTGTATTCTAATAGAA